GGGGGGGCGGTGTGTGTGATGGCAATTCCAGGCCTGGCCACCAGACACCCGGGTGTTTTCAAATTACATCATGTCTCAGTTCAGGGAGTTTGTTATTTATCGTGGATGCCCTGAACGCATCCACAGAAAGCGGCCGCCAGCCCTGGCTCCTGGTGGGGATGCTGCCAGACTTGGGAGGGGGGGGCCAAGTGGGGGCTCTCCAGGGCTGTCCCCACCCTGGGAGGGCACCGCGGGGGCTCCCCGGCCACCCAGGCACTGAGCCCGGGGTGATGCCATGGTGGGCAGGGTGACAAGCCCAGGATATGGGGAGCACCAGACTGGGGGGGGGGATCCCATCCTGCCCGGGAAAGGGGTGCTGAGCACGGTGCCGGACCTGAGGGCACATCCAGGCTGACGATGGGGATGCGGACATGCTTCAGGGTGGCCAGGATGGCGGCACAGGGCTCCCTCCCCTCGGCCGCCTCCGCCTCGGCTCCCAGCACGGCGTCCACCACGGCGTTGTAGGCATCGTTGATCAGCTGCACCTTGTGGGGGGGGGAATGGGACACGGTGTGTGTGGGGGGGTCCCCTGGCCACCCCCTCCATGGGACAGGCACTGAGCCCCACGCAGGGATCCCGTCTTCCTGCATAAATAGGCTCACCCAGCAACTAGTGCCAAAAAATGTCCCCCCTCCCCGTCCCAGCTGAGGCAGGGAGGGGGGGGGACATGAGGCCCTGATGGCGGGGCAGAACCCGGCACGCCGAGACACTCAGCCCCGGCCAGGGCAACGTTTTCGGGTCACATTCCTCTCGCTGAGCCTGGCGCTTCCAACAACAACAGAGCCGGTGGCTGGCGGGGCCGCGGCAGCCGCCGCTGGATTTCATGGCATCCCCGGGCTCCCAGCAGAGCCGGGGGCGGGAGCGGGGGGAAGGAATAAAAAAAGAATAATAAACTCAACCACGTCAGCCGGTGAGCGCAGCGGCAGCGGCTCCAGGGGGGCTTACCTCGGTGGGGAGGTAGGAGAGGAAGGGGATGTCCATCTTCTCACACTGCGTCGTGAAATCCCGGTACAGGGGGTCCGGGGAGCGTTTGGGGTAGAAGATGGTGGGCTCGTAGTCCTGCGCGGTGGAGAGTGGGGATGCGGCGTTGGAGCCCGGCACTGCTCGGGGATGAAGAGGAGGAGGAGGAGGAGGGGAGGAAGATACCTACAAAGATCCGCAGGTGCCGGGCGCACACCAGCCCGATGGCCCCGTTCTGCGCCGGGCCGCACACCACCAGCACCGTGGGCTGCTTCCGTGGCAGGGACGGCAGCGGGAAAGCCTGCCGAGAGGAGACGGGGATGTCGTGGCACCGCCGAGCCCCCTCCTCCCCCGGTTTGGCCCTGGGGATGGCACCCTGTGCCAGGGACAGGGCTTGAGGGGCGAAGGGACCCACACTGGGGATGTGCTGCTGGGTGGGCAGCGCGGTGGGATGGGGACAATGCCCAAAGCAGGATGAGGATGGCACACATGGCAGGACTTGGATGGCACCCAGGGCAGAAGAGGGCCTGTAGTGGGATGCGGATGATGCCTGTGGTGGGATGCAGATGGTTCCCACGGTGGGATGCGGACGATGCCCACGGTTGGATGTCGACAGCTCCCACAGTGGGATGAAGATGATGCCCAGGAGAGGGACGATGCCCGCGGCGGGACAGGGCTCTCCGCCAGCCTGCAGGGAGGCGGCCGCGAGCTCCACATACCAGCAGCCTGCAAAGGGAGGCTCTGTTTATCCATTGACGGATTTTTTTCCTGCTCACGGAGCCTGGCTCCTGGTCCCATCCAACCACCAGAGACCCGAGCGGCACGGCCTGCTCGCAGCCGCCGGGGCGCTGGACAAAGCCGCGCTTGCCTGGCCCTGGCCCTGCCCCAGAACCTGCCACGCTGCCAGCTGCCTCGTGGCTCCCGGGGACGTGCCGGGAGGGGACGATGCTGGGGACCCTGGCTGAGTGGGGGGGATGCCTGAGCTGGGGGTCCATGGATGCTCTCCCTAGCTCAGCCCCATGAGGAAGAGGAGGATGCTCAGCCCCATGAGGAGAATGCTCAGCTCCGCTCTCCCCGGCTGGGGCTGGTGCTGGAGCCAGGGATGCTGTCATACGGGGGTCCCTGGAGGGGTGGGCAGCCCCGTGCCATGGGACCAGGACCAGCCCCGAGGCAGCCCCGGGATCCAGAGAGGCTCTAACACCCAAATATCTCCCCTCCTCAGGCAACTCCTCTGCCCTTAGGGAAGGGGATGGCAGAGCACGGTCCAGACACCTCCAACGGAAAAGCTGAGACGGGCGGGCGCGGAGCTCCGAGGCACAAAGCTGCCCTTGATGCTGCACCTCCGCTGGCGCTGCCCAGAGCCCGGCTGCTGCCTTCTCCTCCTCCTCCTCCTCCTCCTCACATCCAGCACGAGTGCCCATGGCTCCCAGCAACAGGAGAGCACTGCCATGGCATGGGGAGCCCCGGGGATCCCCCCCCAGCACCCTCCTGCCCACACAGGGCAAGGGCAGCCGGTGCCCGGCAGTGCCAACACCCCGGGAAGGGCTGAGCATCCCCCTCCCGTGGACAGTGTAACCCACGGCCCCAGGTGAGCCCAATTCACCCCAGGGGAAATAATGAAGGGTGGCTGAGGAATGCAAAAAAAAACCCAACAACCCAAACCCACCCAGGGAGAGGCTGCAGCCTTGGCACAGTCAGAGCATCGCTTCCCGCTCGGCTCTGCCACGAGCCCTGCCCGTCCCCTGTCCCCATGCTTTGGTCTGGGGCAGGAGGGAAACCGCAGTCCGGGGTGGGAAAAGCCACGCAGGGGGACAGGACGAGGGTGGGAAAGCAGCCGGCAGTGAAGCCCCCGGCCCCAGTGGGGTGTCCCCGGCCCCACTGGCCGCCTCACCTTGGTCACGGCCATGGCACAGGCATGTCCCCAGATCTCGATCAGCTGCTGCCGCCCAAACCGGTAATCCTCCAGCAGCTCCTTCTCGATGGCCTCTGCCTCCGCCTTGCTGGGGGGGGGGGGAAGCAGACAGCAGTGAGGATGGGGACGTGTCCCCCCCACGCCCAGCACCAAGCCCCTCGGGACCCTGCTCCGTCCCCGGGGTGTGGGGCAAGGGATGCTCGGGGGCACCAGGTGAGCGGGCTGGGGGCTTGCAGGGCTGGGGGTGGGCACGGCCAGCAGCTGGGGGCTGGGGACGTGCACGGCCGGCGCATTCGGGGGCCCGGCACTGCGGGGTGGGGGCTGTATTTCATGCGAGGCAGGGCCCTGGCAGCCTTCCCCGGCTCGTGGGGATCGGGCTGTTATATAAAGGCAAACAATGCTGCGGTTGTTCCTTCGCTGCCGAGCCCAGAAGTTGGCAGGACCGGGGAGCCTCCAAATTGGACAATAATTGCTCACATCTGTTGGCTCACCTGCGCCGCGGATGGGAACAGCGTGTGCCGGCTCCAGCGTGCCGCCGCGCTTGTTATGGAAGGGACGGTGAAATCTGGCTCCGGGGAGAGGCCGGAGTCGGGATCCCAGCAGCCCAGGGATGAAAACTCACAGCCCTGCGGGGGCAACTGGGCCATGCTCCCGGTTTGGGGGTGCACACTCACACCTCGCCAGGTCCCAGCCGCAGGGAAGGGGACCCGCTGGCTGTGCAGGAATGGTGTGATGCTACTGGCCCTGGGAACTGGAGGGGTTACTGGGCCGGGGTCCTGCCGGGTCCCTGCCTGTGGGGTGGCCCCACACCGTCCAGGCTGACCCCATGGACCAGCCACGTTCCCTGGTGTCTGGGGGACATGTCCCCCATGTCTGGCCACAGACCTGCCATGCCCTTGTCACTCTGGCAGATCCCAAAGACCCTACAGACCCCATCCCCTGGCCACGCCGACAGATCCCATTGACCCCACGTCCTGTGGCTGCTCTGGCTGATCCCATAGACACCCCCAGCCCCCTGCATGTCCTGGCTGATCCCACAAGAGCCCGGTGCCCTGGCCATCCTGGCAGACCCCCAGAAAAAACTCATCCTGCCCCATCCCATCTTTTCCCATCCCATCCATCCCCATCCCATCCCATCCTATCCCAGTCCCCAATCCTTTGGTGCCCTCTAGTGAGTCCCAGCCCGGCCCCAGCCCCACAGCAGGATCCTGGGGGCAAATAGAGGGGAAAAAGGGCCAAATCCAGCCCCCGGTCCCCCCACCTTGCCATGCCAGGGCTGGCAGAGCCAAGCGGGCCCCAGCGCAGCTGTGTTGTCGGTCACCCAACAAAAGGCGCGTTTCGACTCTGACAAAATTCCCCACGTCTGCTCCAGGGGAGAACATTGCCCGTAATCACTGCTGGCAGGGAAACCTGGGCCCAGGCCCGGGCTGGCTCCCGTTGTCCTGGCATCGTCCCCGGGCAGGGGGGGGACACAGCACGGAGCTCCCTGGGTGCTGGCTCGCTGCCCACCCAGAGAGCAGTGTGTGTCCCCCTCCCCAAAATGCTCCGGGGTGCACGTTCGCTCCCAGCCCTCCCCAGGCTTTGCAGTTTGGCTTTGCTATAGGGCTTGGAGATGCGGTGAAGGGGGGGGGAAATGGGGCTCCTGTCCCCCTCAGTGCCCAGGGGAGAGCCAGCAAAGCCCAGTCTGACCCAGTTCAACCCAGTTACTGGTTTCTCCCAGAGGGGATGGTGGATGGCCGGGGCCACTGCTGTGCTGACGGGGCAGAGACCTTATGGGGAGCGGGAGGGAGAGGGGCCGAGGGGCTCCAGAGGGTCCCTCCCGTGCCCCCTCCCGCACCCCGGGCTCTGCACCCCAGCTCCGTGTCCCCCCCCTCTGCATCCCGGCTCCACATCCCAGCTCCGTGTCCCCCCCCTCTGCATCCCGGCTCCACATCCCAGCTCCGTGCCCACCGCTCGTCCCTCCCCGGCACAGCTCGGCTACGGGACCACCCCCCACCGGGGTGCAAGCCGGGGCAGGGGGGCGGACACCGGAGGCACCAGCCCTGCTCGGGATCGGGGTGTCCCCCCCCCACCCCGTGGGACCCCCCCAGCTCCGCTCCCCGCGCTGGGGACCGTCTGCCGGAGACATCCCTGCCGCAGCCATGGAGACCCGGGATGCAGTTGCTCTGGCAACCGAGGCTATTTGGGTACCAACCCCCCCCCCCAACCCCCCCCCGGCCCCGGGGG